GGGGCTCGTGGGCGCCACATCATGGTAGGAGGCGGCCACCACCGGGCCCGTCGGCACGGCTACGGCGCACACCGGCGGCGCCGCCGCCTAGGCCGTGCGCACATGGAGGTGCCAGCACCGGGGCCGGGCCGGTGCGCCACCACGTCGAGAGAGAGAGGTAGAGAGGGAGAAGGGGAGGGAGAGGGAGGGGAGGCGCAAGCGGCGGAGGTGGCGCGCCGCAAGAGGAGCATGAGCGAGACGGGCGGGAGGGGAGGCCAGGCGTGGGAGGGAGCCTGTTTTTTTTTAGAAGGGGAGGTATCAATTTATTTGGGGTGAATTGGGGCGACGTGGCTTGCTGGTAGCAGGGGCAGCTCGTAATACCAGCCGCCCCTATAAATCGATGCATTTGTAGGGGCGGCTCGTATTACCAGTGTGGGGGGTACGACCTCGGATACCCACGGCGGACCACATGGGCTGCACCACCAGGGGTGGCCCAGCCCACAAGACGAAGCCTTGCGGGGCACGATTCTGCTCGGCGCCTCCCGCAAGACATCTGGAAGATATCCTAAAGATACTACAAGAACTGTTAGGATATGTATGATCCCAAGATTTCTGTAATCAGTTATTACTTTTTGGTTATCTCTCAGATCTAACCGACTTATAACCCTGCTCCCCGGGCTATATAAGGTGGGCAGGGACCCCCTCCAAACTCACGTAATATCATACGATAGCTAATACAAACCAACAGACCACAGGAGTAGGGTATTACGTCATACTGACGGCCTGAACCTGTCTAACTCGTGTGTCTCTGTTGCCTTCTTGTTCTTGATCTCACGCTCCTCTATCGATCAATCTACCTTCGTGGGATACCACTCGGAGGACTGCCGACGATATTTTGTCGACAGTTGGCGTGCTAGGTAGGGGGCTACGTGTTGTTTCCCTGTCGAACAAGATGGCTTTTTCTGCAGGCTCTTCGTCCCTCCCGCAGCCCGGCCAGATCTTCACGGTCGGACCGATCTCGTGGATCATCAACGCTGATGGGGTCGGATCCCTCCGCTACTAGAGGAGGTAGATCAACAACGATGATCTGATCAAATCCATCGATCGGGTTGGTCTGAAGCTCGCCGATTGCCTCTCCATCGCCGAATCAGCTCTGGACACCTTGGTTTAGCGCCGACCACCCTCCGATCCAAATCTGTCGGAGGCTTCTCGGAAAACTCCAGGAGTTACGGCTCTGCACTTCGGGCACCCCAACGCTGCCGCTACCTACTAGGACGCCCTGAGGGGAAAATTCACCGACTAGGTGGAAGACATCCATCCTCTCACTGACCAGCCTCCGCCAGCCGTCAACATGCTACACGTCGGACGGTGCCCTTGAGCGTCCCTCCAGACCATCCCAGAGGAAAATCTGGACTCCGAGTCTCAGGGCTCTACGGAGACCCTCGCCACCACCACCACCGAGCTACTTTCTCTCCCACCCTTCTGAGGTGGCGCGATCTTCAACGTCAGCGTCGACAGCCCTCCTCGGAACGGCAAAACCGAGGAGGAACGTGTCGCTCGTGAGAACCGGAATGTCAACCGCACGTAGCGCCGAGAAAACGAGGCTGCCATTGCGAGGGCCAAGGCTGCTCGCAATAATCGACTCGACTCATAAGGAAGGCCACTACCACTCCACCGCGACCTCGATGATGAATTTCTTCGCGTTGACGGCCACGACGTCTACAAGACCTCGAGCGCCAACTTGGCCATGGCTGCCAACGAGCTTGCCTGGCTCCCGCAAACACCAGAGGTCGCCAAGGTCGCCGCCATGCTTAAAGCGGCACACTGTCAGGTCAATGAGATCCGTGATGATCAGAGACCTTCATGCTCTACGAGCATGATTCACTGATCAGCTACGCCGAGATCCAATCGCTGCCCCAGTCAAAGCCGTTTCACCGACCAGTCACTACCTCTCTAGGGGGGAGCCGGGGGCCAGCACGCCGAACACCATCGCCAACATGACCAGGAGGTCGAACAGGATGTTTGAGTGCGCCTCAACAATCTCTGAGATGCACGACAATGTATCAATGAATGCCGCTTCGGTCGCCATGAAGAAGAAGTACGCTGCCGCCAGGAGTACGAGCAAGAGTATGGTAACCCGGACTCAGCTCTTAAGCCGCTCGCCGCCGGTGACGGTGCAGACAACGGCGCTGACAACCCCGAAGGGCCCCCAGCATTCACGAGAGTGCTCCGAACACTTCAGTGGCCCCGTGGTTTTAAAATCACTAGGGTCGAGCCCTACGATGGAAGGATGAACCCTACTCAGTGGCTACAGGCTTACGCCACTGCTGTTCGCACCGTCGGAGGAGACACCAGTGTCATGGCGAACTATCTCCCCATCATGCTCACGCCAGTCGTCATGAGCTGGTTTACTAGCCTTGCCCCGGACTCCATCGGATCCTAGGAAGAGCTGAAAAAAGTTTTCTCCGACAACTACATGGCTACATGTGTTCGACCGAGCACCAAACATGATCTGAACCGCATCAACCAGAAGCCGTCCGAGCTCCTCCGCAGCTACATTAGACGCTTTTCCGAGATGAGGAATTCTATTCCTAACATCACGGAAGCTGAGGTCATCACCGCCTTCGTCCGAGGACTCCATCACCGCGACCTCCGCTCCAAGTTCAACCGCAAGCCGCCAACATGGATTGGCGAGATGATCACTACTGCCAACAGACCACAGGAGTAGGGTATTACGTCATACTGACGGCCTGGATCTGTCTAACTCGTGTGTCTCTGTTGCCTTCTTGTTCTTGATCTCACGCTCCTCTGCCGATCAATCTACCTTCGTGGGATACCCCTCGGAGGACTGCCGACGATATTCTGTTGACAATCAGCCGCCCCTATTGTGCCATTTGTAGAGGCGGCTGCTGTGCTGGAGCTCGAGCACGCCACTGTAAGGGCGGCTCCAATGCCAGCCGCCCCTAAAAAAACCCGTTGCTACAAACTGTTTTTCATGTGGTGTGTCCAAAAAGAATGCAACTATCTGTTGGTCTTACCACGTAGCTAGAAAACTTCACCACACATGATCTTATCCCTAACACTGTCCGTGTGGGGGCACCGGGCACCGCGAGTCATCAAGAATTGGAGATAAAGTTTAGAGATGAGGTTCGCAAGAGTTTTCCATTTTGCCAAGTTTATCTATCTATATATTACTATTAAAGTGGGTCATTTACGTGGTCCCTTATTCTCTCCCGTGGCCATAAGAGTTAGAGCAGCATTTCTATACACAACGAAGAGTCAATCCCAAGACGAATTGAAGTGCATCATACAATCATTACACAAATCTCTAAGGCTCTTGTGTCGGTGCCAGTTTGACTGACGCCTATCCATGCACGTTGCAGATCGAGTTCGATTATAAGACGAAGTGGAACTCATGACGCATTGAGTACAAGTCGTTGAGGTAATTGTGCAACAAGTTGTATGTTCTGTCAATTCACGGGTGTGTTTGCTAGTTATATAAAGGTAATAACATTTATATATGTCACTGTATAAGTATCATCAAATTAATCATTAAATATATTTTTATATTAAACATATTTGAAAATATAGATGATGACACTATTTTCTTTTTAGTTAAACTAAAAAAACTTTTGACTTGTTTGAAATCGCATATTTTTCATAACGGATAGAGTACTAATCAATAATACGCAGACAATAATGTAATACACGCAATAAGTCTCTTGACACTTATGCAGCGCGCGCAACATCTCAGAAAGGTCAATGCAACAAAAAAATATCAGATGTTGGATCAATGATGCAGCACCAAGGATTGGGACGTGTTGATGCCTGGTGACCCAGATCGAGCTAGCCGTGGTGGCCCGGAGCAGCCCATGTTGAACGCTCTAGCAGTAGCGGCCGCTAGAGATCGATGCCCTGGTTGCCATGGGATTTTTTTTTTCTGATTTACAGAGGCGAGAGTGTCCATGACTACCTCTGTAAATGTTGATTTACACAGACCATGACTAAGATGCAGGTGCTCACCCCATCCCTATTAATATGTCTTGCTCGTTTGTGTAGATTGTTATCGTAGTAGTGGGAATTCAGCAAAGGTTTTTTTTTTGTTGAATTATGTATTGCATATATAGTGCACAGTTAGTTATTGCATTGTCTGTCGAGAAATCTTCTTGGGTGTGGGATGTCTTCCACCTTTTCAATTGAATCTCTCTAAAACCTGAACTCTAAATAATCCTGTGTTTTTTTAATTCTCTATTCGATATAGGATTTATATATCACATGATGAATCGTGTTTTTGTTTATATAGTACATACATGATACATGAGAATAGAACTGAAGTTTCTGATCGAACTGGAGATATATATAGATTTGTTTCGTGGCATGAGTCATAGTTGCGTTCATATATAGACAGGAGGTATGTGAACTAATCAGAGAGCTGAAGGTCGCACAAGTGGCAAGAAATTAATTGAGGATGAAAGATCCCTGCCGCAAGATCAGATACAAGATGTCCATGTTTATAGTGATACATCCTGAATTTTAATACCACTCGACATTTTTTATTTCTCATGTACCATTAGGTTCGTCTGCTGGCAATGCATTGGTACCCTTTGGTTATTACCAACCATGCGTACGCATAAGAAATAAATTCCCCTGGGCCATCTCGATCGGCATTGCCCATTTGCATGTGTTTTTAGTACGTGATGTTCCCCGCCCGGTCCTTGCTTGTTACTGTACACCAAAAGCTAGCTAGCTTTCTCTGTACTGTACGTAGAGAATGCATTGGTATATATGATCTAGTATCTCCCTGTCTATTTCACACTAGCTAGCTAGCTAGCTCATCTGGAGGCGCCAGCCACAGCCAGCTCGTAGTATAAATACCAGCTTGCAGCTTGTGCAAATTTAAACAAGCTAGCATGCAGCGCAACACCACCGAGCTAAGCTAGCGATCGAGCAAGCACATATAATAAGCAGCAACAAAGCTAGCTAGCTACTAGTAATAAGGATCGAGAATTAGAGAAGAGAAGATGTCGTGGAGCGATAACGAGAACGGCAGGTTCGAGCAGGCGCTGGCAGATATCGAGGCCGACCATCCCGGGCGCTGGCAGCTCGTGGCCGAGGCGGTCGGCGGCGGCAGGACGGCGGACGACGTCTGGCGCCACTACCTGAAGCTGGAGGGGGACACGGCCGACATGGGCGCCAGCAACCGGGCGGCCCGACGCCGCCAACAGTACCGCCGCAATCGGGGACAGCAGCAGCAGCAGCACCAGCACGGCGCCGACGCCAACGGCACGGCGGCCAACAACAGCCGCAGCAACGATAGGCGGCGGCGCAACGGCGGCGGCGCCAGTAGCAGTAACAGTAACAACAATAGTCGCGCTAATAACAACAGGTACGTACGTCTATACGGCTGCCAGCTAATTAATTAAACTCGCATGCAATCACTGTGTGTTGCCGTCTATAATAATGCATGCATGGGAATTGGGATCCTCCACACAGTCACTGTCACTGACAATGGCATTAATTGGCATATCAGAGGGATCGGATTATTTAAGGTTTATTCGACGACAAAATATAAGGAATTATTTTATTCCAAGAAAAATATAATTCGATTTTCCCCCTGAGTCACACTATTTAGATTTGACAGAGTCTAGACAAAAGAATACCGAATTTATATCATCGTAATAAATGTTATTAGATCCCTCGTATAATATATATATATTTCTATGATGATGTACCTATTTGCGCAGAGCCAATCGCCCGCAGGAATGAGACGAGACGACGACGTACGGAAGGGACGGCCGGAGAGACGATGAACCACACAAACTACTTCAACTATAGTATACACTGCTGCCTACGTGTAATAATATGTGTGCTGTGACAATATATATAAGAACTACTGTTCAGCAGATGGCTATAAAATAACTTATTCTGTGATTATTTTGAGTTACGATAATTACTATGCTAATTCATGAGATTATAGTAACTCCTTACTATGTGATTTACTATAACGTTATGGTAAATATCCTCGTGTATTATAGTAACACAACTATCGTAAATATGTATTCATTTTATCGTAAATTAGTATACAAAATTATCGTAAATGGAGGTGGCTACAGAATAACTTATTCTATGGCCAGCTGTAGAATAGCCTTACTCGTGTTACTACAACTCACGGTGATATTTACGATAATGTTATAGTAAATCACTTAGTAAGGAGTTACTGTAATATAGTAAATTAGAATAGTAATTATCGTAACTCAAAGTGGCCATAGAATAAGTTATATTATATTATATATATATATATATATATATATATATATATATATATATATATATATATATATATATATATATATATATATATATATAACTACTACCCTGTAACTGGCTACAAAATAACTTATTCTGTAGCCACTTTGAGTTACGATAATTACTATGTTAATTTATGAGATTATAGTAATTTCTTGCTAAGTGGTTTATTATAATGTTATGGTAAATATCCTCGTGTGTTATAGTAACCCAACTATCGTAAATATATATCGACATTATCGTAAATTAGTATATAAAATTATCGTAAATGGAGGTGGCTACAGAATAACTTATTTTGTAGCTGGCTACTAAATATACTATATATATATATATATATATATATATATATATATATATATATATATATATATATATATATATATATATATATATATATAGCTGGGTCGCTGTGTCGCGCCGGTCCGGTCCGGTCCGACCATGTTTTGTGTCCCCAGCGCATTGATCCTCATTAAAGAATCCTCATTCACCGCCCCAACTGGTGCCTGCCACCGACACCGCCCTCCCCCGCGCCTCGTCCCCCGCCCCTGCCGCCCTGTCCCTCTCCCGCGCTTGTTTCATTAACCGTCGGTGCCCTCTCCCTCCCACCTGGCGGCCTTCCTCTGCTCCCTTACCGACGGATCCCGCGGATCCATCGGGGAGGCAGCGGACGGTGGCGCGTGGTGGCTTCCCCGTCCTCCCCTCCGACGTCGCGGATCCATCAGGGAGGCAGTGGACGGTGGCGCGTGGTGGCTTCCCTGTCGACCCTCCGGCGACGTCCTCGTCCTCCCTCTGGTGACGGTGCCTCACTCCCCCAACAGCGGCACCTCCCTTGGCTCCCCGGCAGCGGCGCCTTCCACGGCACCCGGCGGCGGTGGCCAATGGCCGCAGCGCCCCTTCCCCCTCCCTGTAATGGCCGTGACTCCCGTAGGTTCCTTTCTTGATTAATTGTTCATCAGTCATTTAGTTAATTCCATTTGTCTGATTAGTCATCTGGATTTTTTAGCTATTTGTGACTCCCGTAGGTTGAAATATTGTTTGTTGTTGCGGATCTATTGGCCACATTAGCCAGAGTGCATAGGTTTGTAGATCCTATCGATTTTAGGTTGTGTTAGCTGTGCTATTTTTTAAACCAAATTCTTGAATGTCAGATCCCTTGTTTAGTAAATTCCTATGTGTATATACTACAAAATATCGTAATTATTGTATCCACTAAATCAATATACCTTAATCTTATGATAATAAGCACTGCTGCCTTACGCTAGTTATCATGATTTACTGCTCAGACATTTGAAGCAGTCTTGAAGCAGTCATGTTATGATACTTCAATGTCATTGTACAAAATTCTCGTAAATCATATAGACCAATCATATAGTAACCAATTTCATTTTATGGTAACTGTGTCTGTGTTTGGTTAACCAAATTACTATCAAAATTCATTCTCGTAAATTACATAGATCAAAATGTTTCCTTATGGGAACTTTCTCTAAATAACCAAATTGTTGAGTGAAAGATCGCCGGCTCGCTGCTATAGTAAATACTTATATTAATAGGCCGAAATTCTTGTAAAGCTTGTTGAAATCAAAAGATGCAAAAGGCGAACCATGATTTACCTAAACGTTGAGACCCACATTTATTTCAGCTACTTGATTAGGAGTGTCATTGACCCTCGCAATATTTTTGGTCTCGTTGTGGTCAATATGCGTGGTCACGATGAGATTCGGCAATGCATATTGCAATGTTTGGTACAGGGTGTCTGCAATCCATGACCCATGGTGGATCCTTTCTTTGATGTTCACATGAAAGTTGCTGACGTGATGATTGGAACGTTGCTTTTCTTTCTCAGTCATGCTCTATTTCGAACCTGTATTCCTTCAACCTTTCAATATATCATATGAAAAGCAGGGCTGTCTTATTGTATTTTTTCTAGTTCCTTTCTTGATTAATTGTTCATCAGTCATTTAGTTAATTCCATTTGTCTGATTAGTCATTTGGATTTTTGTAGTTGTTTGTGACTCCCGTAGGTTGAAATATTGTTTGTTGTTGCGGATCTATTGGCCACATTAGCTAGAGTGCGTAGGTTTGTAGATCCTATCGATTTTAGGTTGTGTTAGCTGTGCTATGTTTTAAACCAAATTCTTGAATGTCAGATCCCTGGTTTAGTAAATTCCTATGTGTATATACTACAAAATATCGTAATTATTGTATCCACTAAATCAATATACCTTAATCTTAAGATAATAAGCACTGCTGCCTTACGCTAGTTATCATGATTTACTGCTCAGACATTTGAAGCAGTCTTGAAGCAGTCATGTTATGATACTTCAATGTCATTGTACAAAATTCTCGTAAATCATATAGACCAATCATATAGTAACCAATTTCATTTGATGGTAACTGTGTCTGTGTTTGGTTAACCAAATTACTATCAAAATTCATTCTCGTAAATTACATAGATCAAAATGTTTCCTTATGGGAACTTTCTCTAAATAACCAAATTGTTGAGTGAAAGATCGCCGGCTCGCTGCTATAGTAAATACTTATATTAATAGGCCGAAATTCTTGTAAAGCTTGTTGAAATCAAAAGATGCAAAAGGCGAACCATGATTTACCTAAACGTTGAGACCCACATTTATTTCAGCTACTTGATTAGGAGTGTCATTGACCCTCGCAATATTTTTGGTCTCGTTGTGGTCAATATGCGTGGTCACGATGAGATTCGGCAATGCATATTGCAATGTTTGGTACAGGGTGTCTGCAATCCATGACCCATGGTGGATCCTTTCTTTGATGTTCACATGAAAGTTGCTGACGTGATGATTGGAACGTTGCTTTTCTTTCTCAGTCATGCTCTATTTCGAACCTGTTATTTCATTTTATGGTAACTGTGTCTGTGTTTGGTTAACCAAATTACTATCAAAATTCATTCTCGTAAATTACATAGATGAAAATGTTTCCTTATGGGAACTTTCTCTAAATAACCAAATTGTTGAGTGAAAGATCGCCGGCTCGCTGCTATAGTAAATACTTATATTAATAGGCCGAAATTCTTGTAAAGCTTGTTGAAATCAAAAGATGCAAAAGGCGAACCATGATTTACCTAAACGTTGAGACCCACATTTATTTCAGCTACTTGATTAGGAGTGTCATTGACCCTCGCAATATTTTTGGTCTCGTTGTGGTCAATATGCGTGGTCAGGATGAGATTCGGCAATGCATATTGCAATGTTTGGTACAGGGTGTCTGCAATCCATGACCCATGGTGGATCCTTTCTTTGACGTTCACATGAAAGTTGCTGACGTGATGATTGGAACGTTGCTTTTCTTTCTCAGTCATGCTCTATTTCGAACCTGTTATTTCATTTTATGGTAACTGTGTCTGTGTTTGATTAACCAAATTACTATCAAAATTCATTCTCGTAAATTACATAGATCAAAATGTTTCCTTATGGGAACTTTCTCTAAATAACCAAATTGTTGAGTGAAAGATCGCCGGCTCGCTGCTATAGTAAATACTTATATTAATAGGCCGAAATTCTTGTAAAGCTTGTTGAAATCAAAAGATGCAAAAGGCGAACCATGATTTACCTAAACGTTGAGACCCACATTTATTTCAGCTACTTGATTAGGAGTGTCATTGACCCTCGCAATATTTTTGGTCTCGTTGTGGTCAATATGCGTGGTCAGGATGAGATTCGGCAATGCATATTGCAATGTTTGGTACAGGGTGTCTGCAATCCATGACCCATGGTGGATCCTTTCTTTGATGTTCACATGAAAGTTGCTGACGTGATGATTGGAACGTTGCTTTTCTTTCTCAGTCATGCTCTATTTCGAACCTGTATTCCTTCAACCTTTCAATATGCCATATGAAAAGCAGGGCTGTCTTATTGTATTTTTTCTATATAAATTATGTCTTTATATATATGTTTGTCTTTGTTAGATCGCTGATCTATTCTTCTGGTAAATAAGTGTCGTAACTATAGCATGGTAAATAAGTGCCAACACTATAGTAACTAGTTATTCGAAATTGCTTGATGTCAAATTGTGGTACTTCCCATCCTAATCACTGTCTTGGAACATTCAAAATATTGTAACTGTCTTATGGTAAACCGGTTTC